GCAGTATAATTTGATATGTGTAGTGTATTAATTAACTTGCACACATTTAAAACCTCAAACATTTATTTTTTTTTATTTTTTTTTTTTGTTTGTTTTGTTTTTTCCAGACAGGGTTTCTCTGTGTAGTTTTGCGCCTTTCCTGGGACTCACTTGGTAGCCCAGGCTGGCCTCGAACTCACAGAGATCCGCCTGGCTCTGCCTCCCGAGTGCTGGGATTAAAGGCGTGCGCCACTATTAATCCATAATGGTAAACAGGTTCACAAACTTATCCTGCAACTTTTTGAGAGGTTTGGTGTGGTGAGCTGAAAATGGCCCCCATAGCTATGGAGTGGCACTATTAGAAGGTGTGGCTTTGGTGGAATAGGTGATATTTTGGTAAAGAATGTGACTGCATTTTGCCCTTGTCTGAAGAGTCTGCCTGAGGCTAAAGTAATGAAATTTGTTTTAATTCCCTTGACAGAAAAAAAATCTCAAAACATCCTATTATAGACTCTGTAATGTGGTTATTAGTGTTAACTCTAATAAAGGTTTATAACAAAAAGTACCAAGCTGAGCGAGCAAAAACAAAAAATATAAAATGTGAGAAGAAAAGGAGCACCAGGAAGTGGAATGGGGCTAAGTCCTATGTTCTAGGAGACATACAGATTAAGAAATGGAATAAAAGGATTGGTGACCTCAGGGTAAGATCCCACACATCTAAACTTCCTACTTGTGAAAATTAACTAAAGAAAAGCTTAAGTCCATGCCTGGAAGTACATGCCTTTAATCTCAGCACACAGGAGACAGAGGAAGGTAAATCTGTTAGTTTGATGTCAGTCTGGTCTACAGATTGAGATTGAGGACAGCCAAGTTAAGGAAACCATTGAAAACAGAAAGCTGGTGAAGATGTAGTTGAAGAAGGGGGCTATGTTCCAGTCCCAGCAAGCAGCATAATTTGGCATTTTCAGCCACCTGGTTCTGGCTTCAGAGTAGAGGATAGAAGAAAGACATTATGGAATCTTTCTCCATGACTAAGAAACACCCTTGTTGCCAGGCATGTGTCAGGGGTGTCCCTGCATGGAGTTCTTAGGCCATTGTGTAAAGTTATGAAAGTGAAACCTGGATTGCTTTTGGAGACCCCAAGATGTTTAAGATCCAAGAGCCATGGGATACCTGCCAAAGAGAGGTGCTAACATGAAGTTGAACCAGCCAAGATAAAGAAGTAGATTGTAGACAACAAAGCTCAAAGCGGTTGGAGATCTGAAGAGCACTTTGGCATCAGACATGGAGAAGCAGAGTTTTGAGTTTTCCCAGTTGGTTTTGGGTTTGGTTTGGTCCAGTATTTCCTCATTACTCTCCATTCCCTACATTTTGAAATGGCAATGCATATTCTGTGCCATTATATATTGGAAGTATGTGATCTGTTTGGTTTTTTTTAATTTTAAAGAAGATTACAGTTAAGAGATTGTATGACTCTCAGAAGAGACTTTGAACTTTAGACTTCTAAATAAGTTTGAGACTATTACAGACTATGGGAATTTTTGAAATTGGACTGAATGAATTTTTGCATTATGATATGGCTATAAGTCTCAGGGGGCTAGGGAGTGGAATGTGGTGGTTTGAAAGAAAATGGCCCCCAAAGGAAGTGGCAATATTAGGAGGTATGGACTTGTTAGAGAAGGTATGGTTTTGCTGTAGGAAGTGTTTCACTGTGCAGGCAGGCTTTGAGGTCTCATATATGCTCAAGCCATGCCCAGTGAGACAGTTCACTTTCTGTTACCTGTGCAAGATGTAGAACTCTCAGCTACTTCTCCAGCACCATCTCTGCCTGCACTACACCATTGAAGATAATGGAGTAAACCTCTGAAACTGTAAGCCAGTCTCAATTAATTTTTTTCCTATATAAGAGGCTCCATGGTAATGATGTCTCTTCAAAGCAACAGTAACACACTTGGCATTGCTGTGTTACTGATACAGCGTATGAATCTTCTTGCTTACATCTAATTGTACGTTAGTCCCCCATTGAGCAACCTCTCCCTGTCCTTCACTATCCCTTCCTCTTCAGCTTTGAGCAGGTTCCATTCTAATCTCAACTTCTATGGATGCCACTTTTAGTCCACATATTAATGACCATTACCTTTTTTTAATGATGAAATAATTCAATATACACAAGCCTGTCCATATATAATTCCTGTGACTGCAGTTCTGTAGTTGGGTGGTTTGTTGTTGTTTTAAATTATCTTAAGTTTGTAAAATGCTGTGGGAAAAGATAAATTTCCATGTAGAGAGTTTACTGCTCCTGGAGATGTGTCCACTGCATCTTAGACTAAGGGACCTGATGTGTCTTGGGGCTGAATTAAGACTCACTGTCATGTTTTCTAAAGACGACAATGTAACACGTTTTTTCATCTGCATCAGAGACCTATAGCCAGAGTGGGAAGATATTATGCATTTCTGGCCACTAGGCTGGGTTATGATGCAGGGGAAGTGTCCCCAGTGCCAAAGGTAGCTTGTGCTGCTCCTCTGTGTAGGGGAATTGCAGAGATCTTGTCCTCTAGATGAGCTCTTGCTAGAACATGTATCACAGTGTATTTACCACTCTGTACCACATCTGAGTCCATGTCTAGGAAATAGTTTACCCATGTAAAAACTTAATTTGAGTACAAATATAGTATCATCTATAATGTTTTTCTTGCACTATTCTATTTAACTGATATGATTCCAAGTTTGTTTCACAAAGACATAATATCCTGTTCATTAAGCAAGAATGTCATAATTCGGGGATGCTTTGGTTTTTGTTAGAGGTGACCCATTATTGAATTGACCACAACAACAAGGAAAGAACTCCAAGATTTGTCTAACAGGGTTACATTAATTTAAAAGGCTCTGCATAGCAAAACAAACTGTCAATTGCTTATAGAATGGAAGAAAAGCTTAACTATACTTCAGTTAAGGGGTTAATATCTAAGATATATAATGAATTGAAAAATATATAGACATAGATAATCAACAAATGAGTCAATGATCTGTACAGACATTTCTCAAAAGATGAAATACAGATGGCCAATAAATATTTTTAAGTGTTCAGAGCATATAAAGTGTAAATTAAATTGTGAGTTTCTGTCTCATACTATTTTAAATACCTATCATTTAGGAACACAAAACAAATTCTGGTGAGCATGAGGATGAAAAACAATAACCCTTATTAAATATTAGTAGAAATTTGAACTAGTCAAGAACTATGGAAATCAGTGTGGAGGTGTCTGAAGCAAACAACCAAAGGAAAAATTAGTAGATGGTCCAGCTGTAAATCAATTGGGCATATGCCCAAAGTCTTTACAAACATCTACAGAGGTACTTTAACTTCCATGTTTATCAATATTCTTCTCACAATAGCAAGAATATAGAATGAGCCAGGATACTCATTAAAAAATGAATAGATAAAATGTGGTACATGTGTACCAGAACACTTGAGTCAGTTATAGATTGAAATGAAATCACGGAATTTGTAAGAAAATGGATGGAAGAAGAAAATATTATATTATGTGAAGTAATCCAGACCCACAAAGACAAATATCATAGTTACTATGCCATGTGCAGACCATGACCTGTAACTGTGAACTTTATGGGTCCAGGTGGGACTAAATATTAGTAAAGGCAATGGGTTCATGGTGTTGGAAAAAAGGAGGGCTTCAAAGGAGAGGAGAGGGAGGACCATAGAGCAGAATGGAAGATTACAAAAGGGTAGAGCAAAGATGGGGAGGAGTGTCAGGGAGGAAGAAATCAACCCAAAACAAAATATATATGAAAACCCCAGATGGAAAGCTATTTATTACTTTGTCAGCTAATTTAAAAATAAAGCAGATAACAGATGCTTAAAGGAAGAGGGGAAAGAGAATGCTTATATGCTGCTTTGGGGAATATAAATTACTCTGGCCACTTTGGAAACTAGTAGAGAGATTCCTCAAAAACTGAGAACAGTGCTGTCATATAATCTGTTTGAAAACTGAAATAAGATTTTAATTCAAGGCTTTTGTGTACTCATACCTAACTAAACTGTCTCTACAGGGATACAAGGCTAGTCTCTTAAAGTTTAAAATGAAAAGGAATTATAATAGCAGTAGTATGGTTAGTAGCTTCCTTTGAACTATGACTAATAAGCATTTAGACAAGTCAGGCCACCACGACTGGAAAACTCCCGTGCTGGTTGGTTTTGTTCTAACTGACTCAAGCTAAGCTCATCTGGGAAGAGAGACTGCCAGTCAGGAAAACGCCTCCCTAGGACAGGCCTGTAGGTAATCTTATCTGTTGTAATTTTCTTGGTTGATTAATGTGGGAATGCCTAGCTCACTGAGGATGGTGCCACCCCTGTGCTGGTACTCGTGGATGACATTAGAATGCAGGCTGAACAGTTCATGGCCATCAAGTCATAAAGCCACATACTTCCATGGCCTCTGCTTCAGTTTCTACACTCACGTTCCTGGCCTGACATCCTTCAATCATGTACCATAATATAGAAGTGTAAGCAAAGTAAATCCTTTATTGCCCAAGTTGCTTTTGGTCATGGTGTTTTATCACAGCAATGTAAACCCTAACTAAACCATAACTTCCCTTGTTAACTGAGTCAGCCCTAACAGAGCCACAAACTTCTTCACCATAGTCAATAATGTGCTAGGATTCACCATATCATCATTTAACATTTGTCCTCTGTGTGTTCTGGTAATTACATCTAGAAACCTTGCAAATACCTCACTCAAATTTTTGGAAAACCCCTTTATGGTATGCCATAGCATTGTGTGCTTCAGTCAGGAAGCATACACTGCCTGAGGATCTCTGATCCTACCAACAAATACATCTCTGTGCATTCATTCATTATGGGTTGAAAAATAGTAATGCTGTATTTTTTAAAATTTCTTCATTATTTTGTAGACATTATTGCTTTCTGATACTACTCCTGATAAGGTTTTGATATAGAAATATAGTTGTGTACTAAACATTTACACATTCCATGTTTCTTTTAGAAACATCCTGTACCATCTTGATGGGAAGACAAGCCAGTTTTCCATCCTCAAGGAAGCTTGGGAGCAGTGCAGTCCACTGGCATCAAATGAGACCTTTCAAGAGGCCGTATCAGATGTGCTGAATAGCATTAATTCAGCTCAGGTTTCCTTCAAAGCAGGATTGGATGTGTTTGAGAGTGTCTTGGTTGAAAAGAACTGAGAAAATACTCAGCATTTTAAAGTTTGTTTACAAGTATACAAACTAAAGCTCTAATTTGGCCAGATATTGTGTGTGTGTGTGTGTGTGTGTGTGTGTGTGTGTGTGGGTGTGTGTGTGTGTCATCGAAGACTTTCCCCCAAGTTTAAAGCTATTATATGGCATATTTTTAAATGTACATAAGAAAGAACATTTTGCACATTTTAAATATTTTCTTATATCCCAATTGAAATAATACCTAAGATTTATCTATTAAAGAGAAATATGCTGTATTTTCATAAATAAAAATCTTGGGAGGGGGTTAAGATGTTCTTGGCAACATCATTGCTGTGGGCAGAATGTGGAGGAATGCCAGAATTCTCTCTGATAAAATCTCGAGTGACTGAGTTCCTATGTTAGACATGAAAACCTGATAATGTTTCAGACAACTTTTCAAGTAACTCTTCAATATGAAGAAGTAATGCATTTTGAATGAGTGATTGATGCCCAGAACCATTTTGAATGTTTCTATTTTATGAAATGAAGTTCCTCTTCTTGACACAACTAGATGTAGTAACGCACTGGTTATGAAGTTGTATTTTATAAGTACTAATGAAAAAAGAGCCATAAACATTCCAGGGGAAAAACTCCTAAAAAACTGGATAGAGCAATTTAAATGCAAATTCTTCCTAAGGTGACAAGTTTTGAAAACCTCAAATTGCCTCAGTTGATGCTACACGAACCTCAGCAGTGATGTAAATTTGACCAGGGAGAGCACATTCTTTTTTCACTTCTGTTGTTTCCGGTGGAGTGACAGAACAGGGAATAGGCTAAAGGAGAGCATCTCATATGGCTGCCTCCCCCTTATATCTTTCCCACAACCCCTTGCTATAAAGTGGTTTTAACAGAGCACTATATAACTACAATGGGAAAATGGCACAATTTGTCTTTGAAAATCCAAAATATCATCCAATATATCTAAATGTTGTTTTATATTACTGGCAAAACAAACCTACTCTAAAATAGATGTTTAGTCTTATCAACAAATGCTCTTAATATAGGAAGAAAGTTTAACATTTTCCCATTTGTTTTCCTTCATAGTGGCTAAGGGGAAAACAGTAAATCGGCATGCCACTAGGCCATCAAAATGGAGTGCTTTAGAGCCTTTGTTGGCCACAATCCTTTCATGTAGGAGACGGACTTCATTGTCCTTCAATAGCACCACAGTCCCTAGTCCCTTCAAACTAAAAAATTCTTCCTAGCGATGGACAAGAAAAACTTTTACCCTACTTTTTAAACATATTTGTTTAAAAAATATTTTTCAGTCGGGCGGTGGTGGCGCACGCCTTTAATCCCAGCACTCGGGAGGCAGAGCCAGGCAGATCTCTGTGAGTTTGAGGCCAGCCTGGGCTACCAAGTGAGTCCCAGGAAAGGCGCAAAGCTACACAGAGAAACCCTGTCTCGAAAAACCAAAAAAAAAAAAAAAATTTTTTTCTTATGTTGAGTAATGCAGTTTTCCTTTGAGAATAGATTACCAGAATATTTCTTAGGGCATTCCTACCAATTTCAACCCTGAAACAATTGGCACTACATGGCCAGGGGAATGCTGTGGCTATCCCTATGTGTCTAGGATTTTACTTCTTTTGGATGAACATGAAAGTAAGGTTAGTTAAAAAGAAAGCTAGAGTTGAGAGAAAAGAATTAGTCATCATTGACTAAGTTATAAGGGGTAGCTCTTTCCAACATTAGTAATATTTCTGGGCTCAAAGCACAGAACCGGGCCAATTAGCTAGATAATTCAAGCAGAAACACATATTCATCTGAAGTGCCTATGTATATACATTTTCATACGAGAAATGAAACTACCTTGTAGTATTTTTGATGTACTTACTTAATGTAATTATTTGAATCATGCTTGTTTGAGAATGTTTGCCACATTGCTGACTGTGTGTGGGAAGGCCCCACAAGGGTCAGGGTACTGCTTCTTGCCCATCGTCTGCAGAGATGACCAGAAAAAGAGTGACAGAATGCTCACACTGCCTGAGAGTCAAGTGTATTCATCACTGAATCCAAGGTCATGTAGCTATTTGTGTGGAGTTGAATTTAAAACAAAAAATGATAAAATGCCTTTCATTTGGTAGATTATCATCTTAGATCAAAACTCTAAATTGTTTTAGTACAATAATTCAAAAAAATCATGGAGAACAGACAGTCTTCTAGATTTTTTTAATGACTCTGTGCATAGGTAAATCTAATCACATATGAATCCTATATTCCTTCCTTCTAAATTTATTGAATTTGTTCTTTGAGACCTACAGTTAACCCTTTACTGGCATATTTTATTAGATCAGTTAAGAGATCATATAAAAAGATTAAATTACATTTAAAATAGATGTCTATGAATTCTACAGATTCTGCTCCACATTTTGATTTTAGCGGAACTCTGAGCTATGTGTCATAGTATCACAGCTATGACATGCTTACCTCAAAACTTTTTCAGATACATAGCATGTTAACTTTCCTCAGAACTCCTAAGTGAATATAGTACTGAGCAAGGTAATGATGGGTGGTATGAGAACCAGCAGTATTTTCAAATTGATACTGAGACTTCTAGGTATCAAATATTTCTCAAAGTACTTCATATAGAATTGGTCCCAGGAGGTAACAAATCATAGACAATCCATTGCCAAGAAAATGTGGACAATATGTGCTGTGAATTTGTGTCCAACCAGGATATACAGGGATATTGCCCCAGGACTAGAGACAAAAGGGAGCCTCAGTGACAGTCAAGACTAAGGTCGAGGATACTGCCTTTTATCATAATATCACCACTCTCCCAATCTGATGCAGTAGTACCTGAAGACTGATGATGGAGAAACATGTACATAGGCATTCATTCTGAGAGTGACTAATGCTGCTTAGATTTTTCAGCTTCTTGACCTTCTTGCCCAGTGTTCACTGCCTGCTCTCCCAGAAGAATTATAAATGAACTTTCCAGTGAATTCTTTGTAACCAGCCACCAAGTCAGATGCTGCTGTGGGCTGGGAACATGATTTTAATGCCAAGAAAACTCACACTTTGATTGTATTTGACAAAATGTTCCCAGGCAATCTGGCTGAAGAATATGAAGTCTGAGGAGTGACTCTATATGACACCAGAAGTCAGGATGGAGGATCCTGAATGAAAAGTTATTATAGAGACCTGTTAGCTGGGAAAATCAACAGTCTAAATCAGTGTTTTTGACATGTGAAATCTGAGGAAAGAGCTTTTAGAATATCTATTCTCAGATTCAATATTATCTATTTTAATAATTTCTAATCTGTATCAATCCTGTATTCTGATTTAAAAAAAAAACAGCTCTTGAAAGCCTATGAAAATATAAGAAAGTCACATTAATGAGGGATCCCAAAGATTTTGAGAATGCCATCATTAAAACTCCAAAATGAGTGGCTGGAGAGACAGTTCAGCAGATAGGAGCACTGGCAATCCAGTCATAAGGACCTGAACTCAGTTTCTAGCACCTACTGTAGGCAGCTCATACTCCAGCACTAAGGGATCCATTGCCCCCTCATAACCTGCAGAGGTGTTGTGTACTATTCACACATGAACAAAATAAGCCCTCAACCAAACTGTAATAATGTCAAAAATAACCTGTTTTATCAGTAAAAAAGAAGCCATGTGTATCCAACATCTATGCCAGCCATGGCAGACACTGGTCTAGACATGGTTTACTTTTGTTTTTCTTTTTCTGGTTGACTGTATACAGCAACTCATTTAAGAAGGAAAAAACAAGTTTAATGAGACATGTTTAGAATGTTGTATTGTCTTTTTCTTCTCAGAGGGACCCTGTAATGCCAATGTGGCATTCCTTACACCAGACACTGCAGGAAACACAGTTCTTTTGATTTGAAAACATAATGTGATGTAACATTTTGATACGAGCTTTCCACATATGACCAGCCTTAGTTAGTTCATCAATAGCCTTAGCTAGCAGCAACTTCAAAATAATTGCAAAGAACCTAAAAAGCACCATATGTATTCCCCAATGACTGTAGCCCACCTAAATAATGGTGTGCCTGTGTAAGTTTGAAGCATTTAGAAACCTTGAAAACTAAGTACCCAATTATACACTATCAAGACAACTAGACTTCAAGTTATCATTCCAAACCAGAATCCATTAATCTCATAATATCCTCCTCCAAATGTCTGTACAATTCACTGAGAAAACGAGTGTGTTCATACAGGACTGTGCCTATGTATCAAATTTCAAAACTACAATCAACTTCTTAAATACATAGCATGTAGAAGTTTTGTTTGCTGGAAAGATAAGTATCACACAAATAAAATATCTGTTAATATCTTATTAGTGATGAGTCAGCACCTTGCTTCAAATTAAAAAAAAATTAGTATTTGCAGGATAAATTGGTAGACTTAGCCAATAATGTTCTCCTAAGACACTCTATACTATGTGTAATTAATTCCTGCAAGAATTAAGCCTTCTCTGACGATTACATTTTGGCATCTCATTGGTTTAATGTATTACTGAGGTGTGCCTTAGCCACACATTTGCTTAATAGAAAGGAATTACTTTAAACTATCTATACATGTGCTAAGTGGAAGGGAAATGGTGTTGCATATTCTAATAAATTCCTTTCCAGCATGTTTCAAAACAGGACTTAGAATTCAGTCTGGGCATGGGAAAACAAGCACATGGTATTTGCCTAGCTATGCTAGCAAATTCAAATCTGTTCCATGAGTTTCATTTACTTACTTAAAAATGGCTCATTAGAGTTTGCTATTCTGAAATCTGAAAAAGGGTTGCAGAGTCCAAAGTACCCTATTGAGTGTGAATGCCTTTCAGCTGAAGGGACTTGTTTTATTGAATTTTGAATGTGAAGTGACATAAATTTGAAGAATTACAAACTATAATGTAGAATGTTGCTGGTCATCACCATGTCTACTCAGAAATATGTTGTGTTTTCTTTCTAGATAAACTCTAGAAATGATATTAGGCATCCCCTTTCTGAAGTAGTGGTTTTAAGATTCATCTATTCAACATAAGTGTATCTGTTAACCACCCAGAGTTTTCATTCCATAATACCTTTCTATTACCCTCCAAAGATGTACAGTAAAAGTGCCTTTAGCATAAAGAGATTGTCAAGAATCCTGAAACCTGACTTACTGTGAGGTGACATGTTTCTTAAAGGCATTTATAATCTCATATTCAAACTGGATCAGGATTAAAGAGTAAAGGAATTAAACTGAGGCAGATTTAGGGCTTCCTGATGTAATGTTTCTGGTTATCTTATTGTGTGTTTGGACACACAGTTAGTTACAAAGCTTGCAATAAACAAAGTAGTAATACTGAGGTTTTTAGCCAAAATCCACTCAGCAATGCCAAAGAAACACACGGCTGCTCTGCTTTTTATTTCCAGGATTCAGTCAAGAATTAGACCATAAGCCACTCATACACTGCACACACCCAGAGAAATCTTTAATGAACATACACAAAGCCTAACAGTATTCACTCTTGCTTCTTTGACAGCTTAAGCCAATTAGCACTGAAGTAGTTTTTCTCAGAGGATAACGGATTTTATTTTCTTGGGTCTAATTAACATGCACCACATAAGTCTTGAGAACGACCACACAGGTGCCTATGCTGTCATATGTCATATGCTATAGTTCTGCAAGCTCAAGAGATTAATATGCAATTGTTATGAATAATTATGCTGCATTAATGTTGATAGTGGTCTTTTGTTCTAATTAAAGTGCAAACTTGGCATCTGTGTAGAACTTCACTGAAGAAGTTGAGTCAGAGTTCCTATTTTAATGGACTACATATATTTTTTCAATCAAAATGTATAATTATTTAATTATATCTGCTCTTTAGTAATTATAACTTTATAGATCCTTCAAGGGATTGTATTCACTGTGGCCATGCAGATGGTTAATACCTGGATTTCACCTTTGGGATTTCTTAGCAATTTAAGAATGTCTTTTCAGTACATACAGTAGAATTTTATTAATATTAATAATAGTGCTTTTATTTGGTTTTATATGCTATGGATGGACCTTACTCTGAAAGTCAGAACAAAACACGACTAATTTATAAGGACGATTTTCCCTTTTTATATATAGAGAGCTAAATATATAAACAAACAAAATATTTCATTATACCATTGCAGCTTGTTCGCAAGAAGAAAAATACCCAGATGGTTAAGTGTAGCTCATATAATTATGTTCCAAGGATGTTATAAATAATTCCATTTAGTGGCTAAGCCAGACTCTATTAGGTGATTGAGTGTGTATACACTGCAAACAGAAGGGCTTAGTGGCAAATATATCCCACACATTTTAACTTGCTATTTTAAAAAAAAATTATGTCCAGATTAAAAAAACTTCCTAGAGCACTCTGAAATTTTAATTTGTTTTTATAGACATCCAGTAAATTGTTTGGCATTTTGATAATCCTTTTCTATGTGGGCTTCCAATGTTCATATATACAGGTGTTTAGTATTTTTAGCTTTTTAAGTTGTGTTTGTAATGCAACAACCCTTAAATGGACAAATTTTATAATAATTACTTTTCTAGTGCTATGATATCAAAAGATAGAGTCATAGAATTACAGACAAAAATGAGCAGGGTAAAATTTATAGTTTCATCTGGGGTAAAATTTGAAGGCAAATTTTGCCAAATAAATGTACTTTAATTAAAAACAATCACCTCTTTACTAGGTATGCCCCTTAATAAACTGCACTGAACTGTCTTATTATAGGATTTTGTTTAAGATAATTTCATTATCATCTGTGATTGATAAATTTCTTTGCATAGAGATTGCTAAAGTCATTGTGGTGTTCCTTAAATTTTAATGACATTACTTTATAGGTATATGTCTATATTTTTCAATTACTATATATTGTTGAATGTCTACTTTCTGTGTGTGAATGTCCATACAAAACTGAATGGTTTCTGCATGTTCCTCATGTGTGATCAGTATATAACCACTCTGTGTTACTTCAAATGATTCAATATGCAGCCTATGATGTGATTTAGAGTGAGTGGATTGAGTTACCAAATCCATTAAGAATGAGTGAACATTTTATATTTCACTTGTTTGAATATTTGCACATAATTAAAAACAGTACTATTAAATGAAAGCATCTTTAAGATAACATGTTCTGATTCAGAAATGCAATGAATATATATAATGAAATTGTCATTTTTAAAGCATCGATTTAAAATATATAAAATATAGGTGAAAATGGACTGTGTGTGCTTTTTGTTACAAATATATGTATTTTAAATATTTAGAATGCTTCATTAATGTGATAACTTTTCATAACGATTCCCACATCAAAACTGGTGTCCCACTGCTCCTTATATAGTTACATCTGTTAAGAGTTTTATCATCCTTTGCTTTCTACTTTGCTTGAACTTTCTATTCTCATATTACACCATTTCAGTTTCCAGTATGGGATACATTCTAACATCAAGTAACAGCATCTATACCCATTTAAACACAGACAAGTTTTGTTTCCTCAAACAACATTTTATGAAATGATACAAGTTATTCACCACCTAGAGAATAATATCTCTTTGCATTCTCTAGCAAGTTCCATCCATTTATTCATTTATTCAGTAAACATGAACTAAGGGAATGTTCTAGCCCAAGTGTTGTAACAGTGTCCAACACAATGTGCCTTTGTAGCTCTTTTAGTCCAAAAGCATGTAACATTTTAGTTTCACACTAAAGAGAGTTTAATGGTTAGCCATGGTAGTGTGTATTATTGAACACTGAGCAGAACAGATATAGGTGAAAGGCAACACGGTGGCCTCACTAGCCTTCCATATGGTTTTTTAGAGAAAACTGTTCTTTGCCCAGTGTTCTGATGCACAAAGCCTGTTGTTTTCTAGAGTTTTACACTCTGCTTACATGGGACGATATTAATGATGTCTCTTAATCTTTAGAGTAGCTTGCACAATCGATTTTATCATTGTATTCCATGTAATAGATGACAAAACTGAGAGTTAGGGAGATTAATAACACGTAACTGTAAAAGACACACAGATATTGCAAAAAGAATAGCTCTGTGTGATTACATTCTCCAAGATTTAAAAAGAAGGGATGCTGGAATTTTATCAGTTGCCTATTCTGCACCTAATGTCATGATCATGTGATTTTTTTCCTTTAATATATTTGTGTTGTGGATTACATGTATTGATTTACATATATCGAACCATCCTCCATTTCTGGGATTAAGCTAACTTATTTATCATGATAGATAATCATTTTGATTTGTTCTTGAATTCTGTTTACAAGTATTTTGGAGAGAAATTGTGAATCTATGTTCATCAATGATACAGACTGACCTATAATTTTCCCTTTCCTTGGATCTTAGTCTGGTTTTTGTATCAGGGTGATGCTGCCTTTGTAGTAACAATTTGGAAATGTTCCTTCACTTTCTATTTAACTGACTAATATGACAAAAATATTGGTGTTAGCTTATCTTTGAATTCTGCACTGAATTGACCTGGTCCTGTGCTTTTCTTAGTTGGAAGTTTTTTTAATTACTGCATCTATCTCATTGAATGTTATGAGTCTGTTTAAGTTATTTATTTCATATTGAGATAAAGTGGTTACGAATAGAAAAAGAAGTAAAAATATCCTTGTCCACAAATGACATGTTTCTATAAATAAATGACCCTAAAGACTTCACCAGAAAATTTCTACAGTTGACAAACTCATTCATCAAAGTAGCAAGATGCAAAAGTAGCATGCAAAAATCATTAGTTTCATGCTTCTTGCTCCACTTTCAGCAGTCCTTTTTCAGGATGACACTAGACTGAATTCATGTCACCAACTCTATCAATCCCAGAGAACCAAGGTCTGTTCCTCTTCAGGGGGGACACTAGACCTACTCTAGCCCACCTCCGTGACATACCTAAGGACCATGAGTCCTGAACTGCCTTTGATACACCCAGCTCCCCATACTAGCCATTCCTCTTCTGGAAGGGATCTGAAATTCACATTGCCAGTTCCATTGTCTGAGGAAAAATTCTGTGCACACCTTCCAGACTCTGTAAGATTGACTATGAGAATTTTAAAACTTTACAAATGGTGTGCTCCTGGGATAAGAAACACCACTTAGCTTGAACTAAGCCAGGATTACTTCTGATACTCCATTCAAACAACAACACTGAGTTACCCAAAGACTGAACCCTATATCCCATACAGCTGGTCAGTATTGCAGTAATAGGAAACAGAGCTTTAAATACCCATTCAATAAAAGAGAAGCAAGATTTCCATGTCAAAAAACACTGCCAAAAACCTTGTTCCAGATGTATAGGTCCTGTCTTAGATAGGATTTTATTGCTGTGAAGAGCCACTATAATCACAGCAACTCTTATAAAGGAAAACATTTAACTGGGGCTGGCTTACAGTTCCGAGGTTTATTCCATCATCATCATGTTAATAAACATGGCAGCATGCAGGTAGACATGGTGATGGAGAGGTAGCTGAGGGCTCTACATCTGAATCAGCAGGAAAGAGCGAGCAACACTGGGCCTGGCTTGAGCTTCTGAATCCTCAAAGCCTGCCTTTCCAGTGACAAATGTCGTCTAATAGGGTCACAACTACTCCAACAAGGTCACATCTCCTAACAGTGCCACACCCTATGGGCCTAAAGGGCCATTTTCATTAAACCACCACAGGTCCGATCTCAAACACACAAACTGGAATAACCAAAAAAGTCTCTGACAAAGATTGGTACTCCCATAGTTATTTCCACCAAGGAAAATGACTTGAATGACACAGATAATGAATTGAAAATAGCAATACTAAACATGACCAAATAACTCAAAAAGGATATGAACAAATGACAGAATGAAGACTGAAAATTCCAACCATTGAATGAAATGAGGAAAACCATCTAATAAATAAAACAGAAGAAAAGCCAACATGAAACAAAATTTGAAATGACAAATATCATGAATTCAAACAAAAAAATCAAAGGAAATCACCACCAATGTATTGGGTCAAGTGGAAGGAAGAGTATCAAGTATTGAAACCATGAGAAATTGGATCAAAGAAAACTTCAACCCTCTCCCCCACAAAAAAAATCCCAAGAAGAAAACATTCTGGGAACTATGGAATACTATAAAAAGCTGAAACCTATGAAAACTATGTATTTATAACTTTTATATTGAGGAGACACAAATCAAAGGCATAGGAAACATTTTAGAAGAAAACTTCCATAATTTAAGGGAAAAGATGTCTATAAAGGTCCAAGAGGCATACAGAACACCAAATAGACAGGACCAGAAAATAAATGCTCACATCATATAACAGTCAAAATAGTAAGTATACAGAATACAGGATATTGAAAGGAAAAGGAGAGAAAAATAAAGTCACATATGAAGACAGGTCCATCAAAATAACAGCAGATTCTTTATTTGTTATTTTGATTTCAGACTACAAAATCCAGAAGGGATTGGACAAATGTTCATTAAGTTGAAAGACCATTGATGCCAGCCCGGACTACTATATTCAGCAAAACCTTCAGTCATAATTAATAGAGAAATGAAATTTTTCCATGATAAAAACAGATTTGAGGATTTATGATCACTGAAAAAAATAGACCTACAGTGGGTTATACAATTAATACTTTGAAGAGTAGATTAAAGATGCCTAAGAATTTACAAGACACAAATAAAATATAAAACAACAACTCAAAATATTTTTAATAGAATACCATGAAACAACAAAATGATAGGAATTAATACATATTTTCAATAATATCACTTAGTATTAATGGATACTACTCACAAATTAAGAGAGACAGACTAACTGGTTGCCACAGAAACAGGGCCCATGTCTTTGCTTCTGCTGAGAAATGTACCTCACAATGGGTGATTGATAGCACCTTTGGGTAAAGGAGGGGAAAAGTATTCTAAGAAAACAGAACTAAGAAACAAGAAGGCATAGTAATTCTAATATCTGACACAAATATTTCAAACCTAAATTTATCAGAAAATATAAGGAGTGAACAGAGTGACATTTTGTGTTGAAGAAATATCCAACAATAGAATCTTAGTCTTATGAATAGATGCACCAAAAAAGGGACACCCAATTTCATAAAACAGACATACTGTACTTAAAACCACAGAATGACCACAACACAATGCAGTGATGATGCTTCTTCTTTGTTTGTTTGCTTTATTTTTAATACCCTAGTCTCATCAATAGAGAGGTCATCAGGAGAAAACCTAAGTAGGGAAAGACTCGAGTTAAATGAGATTGTAATCAGTGGATCTAAAGGATGTCTCCAGAATATTCTACCAGAACACTAAACAATATCTGTTCCTCCCAGAAGCCATGGGACATTCTCCAAAACAGATCACATGTTGATATGCAAAGCAAGTCTCAACAAATAAAAGAAAAATGTAATCACATCCTGCATTCTATCTGATTACCATGAATTAATACTGGATATTAATGACAAAAGGAGTGACAGAATATATACCAACACTTTAAAGCTAACCAACACACCACTGAATCAAACCTGGATGAGGAAAGAAATCAAGAAGAACATTTAAAATTACTAGATTGAAATGAAAGTGAAAACACAGCATACCAAAATCTACAGGACATACACCCCAGCTGGCTGACCCTTCCTAGCCTCACTCTACATGCACCCTCCCCAGTTTAAACACTTCACCTTGGTCCTATAATCAGAGACCCCAAAGAGTATCATGAGATCTGAATGTACCTTTTCTAGCCCCTACATTCTGGACATGTGGAACATCCTATTCATCATCACAACCTGCTATGTATACATTAGGGACACAACACACACAAGAAGCCCATATGCTCAGGTCTCATCACAAATAGTTACAAAGTCGAGACACTATGTCTCAATCCCAACCCCACCAGTCCTTTAGAAATGTTCTCTAATGAAAATTAGATGAACACCAGGAGACAGAACTTAAATGAACAATCATAAACTTCATCAAAGAATTCAAGGAGTTAAACATAAATAGTGAGTGGAACTTAAAGAGGATGAACTTAAAGAGAATACACATTTGAATGATACCCAAGAAAACACAAGTACGAGGCTGAATGAAACAACAAGTACAATAGAGGATTTTAGAAGAAATAAGTATATAGACATATTGAAGAGAACCTAAGCTGAAATGAAGACATAACTGAAAGACTCAATAACTCAGGCGGTGGTGGCGCACGCCTTTAATCCCAGCACTCGGGAGGCAGAGGCAGGCGGATCCAGGACAGGCACCAAAACTACAAGGAGAAACCCTGTCTGGAAAAACCCCCCAAAATAAACAAACAAACAAACAAACAAATAAATAAATAAAAAGCTAAGGTTTTGGTTGACAACAGAAATAGTAATTTTGTTTCTTAATCCATTCAGCCAAACCATGTATTTTCATTGAATAGGTGAGGATATCAATATCTGAAGTTATTATTGAAAGATGTGTACTGATTGAGGTCATTTTTGTTGTTTTTTTCTGCTTGTCTTCTTAGCTGTATTCTGTTTTAGGAAGTACAGATATGTTTGTTTTCCTCCTAGACTCTTCTGGCTATTCATATTGTGGTCTTTGATCTATAGTGTTTCTTTCAGTATTCTTTTTATGCTTGGTTTGGGGGACATGAATCTTTCAGCTTGTTTGTATCATAAATTTTTTTTCTTTCTCATTCAAATGCCTCATTAGTTTTCCTAGGTAAGCCTAGGTTGCCAGTCACAGTCTTTTAGAACTCAGATTATATTTCTCCAGGGTCTTCTGGCTTTCAAAGTTTTGATTGAAAAATCATTTGTTATTCTGATGGTTTTTCATTTATATAAATTTTTTTTCTCTTTAAGCTTTTAATAGTATTCATTTCTTCTGTATATTTAGTGTTTCAATTATTGGATGCCATGGGGAATTTTTCTGATACTGTGCATTTGGTGTCTGTGCGTTTCTTTTATCTGAATGAATATATCTGCTTTAGCTTTAGAAAGTTTCCTTCTGTGATCTTACTGAAGATCAGTTTTATGCCATTTACCTGAGTTTCTTCTCCTTTTTCTATGTCTATAATTTGAAATTTTGATTTTTCCATGGTATTCGACTATTCCTGTCTATTCCTAATGTGTTTTTAAAAATAAGCTTTTGCTGGGCGGTGGTGGCGCACGCCTTTAATCCCAGCACTTGAGAAGCAGAGCCAGGTGGATCTCTGTGAGTTTGAGGCCAGCCTGGTCTACAGAGTGAGTTCCTGGAAAGGCGCAAAGCTACACAGAGAAACCCTGTCTCGAAAAAACCAAATAAATAAATAAATAAATAAATAAATAAATAAATAAATAAAATAGACTTTCAAACTCTCTGCTTATGTGGTCTAATTACCCTCATCTGTCTTTGAGTATTGATATTCATTCTTCCACTTGATCCACTATACTTGTGTGGCTCTCTTCTGAGTTTTTTTTTTTTTTCTGAGACAGGGTTTCTCTGTATAGCTTTGTGCCTGTCCTGGATCTCACTCTGTAGACCAGGCTGGCCTCGAACTCACAGAGATCCACCTGGCTCTGCCTCCCAAGTGCTGGGGCTAACGGCATGCACCACCACAGCCCCAAAAACTTAGCTTTAAAGACAGTCCACACATTAAAGCGAAAGGATGGATAAATGTTTTCCAGGTAAAATGGTATCAGGAAG